AATGCCAGATAGCAAAAAATAAGCACCAAGGAACACTGCAGATCTGGACTCCAGCCCTGGCTCTGTGACCTCTTAGTCCATGTCTTGGCCAAGTCCCTTGGTAGGTCTCTTTAAGCCTCTGTTTCTTCATCTATTAAGTGAGGAAACTAAACAATCTGTCAGATTCATTTCACATTTTATATTCTGAGTCTGTGGGTTTCTAGCATGGTAGAACTATAATGTAGATTTTCTTTAGGGAATTTGTGTAAGGGAGATTATGAGTTGCTGTCCATTTGTTCAGACGTTCTTCAGTGAGCACACATGTCCTTCAGCAGAGAGGAGAGTGCTTGTGTCAGGAAGTTCCAGGCATCTCGCCCCACAAGCAGTGGGAGTATGGTGTGAGGGCATCAGTTTCTTAGCTGCTTTATGGACTCCAAGGAGGACTGTAGAGTTTGTCAGCCAACTAGAAGAGACTTCAGAGTTCAAATGATCTCTTCTTTCATTCAGTTAACAGCTAGACACAAAACAGCCAAACAGGAATTGGTTGAGTCACCTGGATTATGGTGTCCTTATAAGCTACAAGTAACTTTTACCCTATAACCTCTGCACTTGCTAATCCCATAACTCTAACAAGACTATTTCAATTTTCTTCTTCCAATTATTATTGGGTCTTTACAATGCTTTGCATTACAGATATTCACAGTCCCTTTGAACCTTCTCACACCAAACTGTGACTCAAACATAACAGCACTAAGGCAATCACTTGAGTGAAAGCTGCTCTTACCCCTTGATGCTCTGGAACTGGGAACTTGTGCTTCAACTAAAGATAGGAGGGCTTCAATCAGTTTACTATTCATAAGTGGGTTTATTTCTCCACTTGACACACTGACGTAGCTCCAGCTGAACCTTTATTTGCTTATTTATGTCCTACCTTTAAAACACTTGCAGAAGCTTAGGATAAAAACCGTAACTATTTTTAAACTCAGCCATAAAACAGGAGCATACATTTAATCATCTCTGAACCAAAAGGAACTATGGCAAACCCAAAATAAGCAAAACCAGTTTTTCATAATATTTTGTTTTTTATTATGTAAGTTCACTGAGGAATTTTCTATGTGGGTCTTTACATAAAAGTCATTAAATAACAGATAATATCCCAATAGCACCTTCATATTAAAGAAACATCTACATTCCAGTCTTACAGTGGACCTTGGTAAATGTCACAGACATATTGTCAAGTTGTATTTCTAAGGCAGAGTTTGGGGGCCCCAAACTGTGAAGTCCTGGCTGGCGTAAGGCTTTCTGGAAACCTAATACAGGACAGGGGAGATGTGAAGCACCTTGAGGAACAGCTGGTTACATGAACTTCCATGCAGCCTCCTCAAATATCAGCATCTCAGGCAGACTAAGAAGTAGTTAATAGGTGAGTCTAAACAGAGGTTGCTGACCAGGCCTGAAAGCACAGTTGTGCCATGTTGGGGCCTAAAGACAGATCTTTGGGCTCCGGCTACACAGAGTCCTTCAGACCTGTCTGGTGCCTTGAGACTGCTCAGGCTTCCTCCTGAAGAACAAGGTTGCCAGACCTGGCTTTGTGTCCAATGAACAGTCACCTCATTTCCACCTCTCCCCCAGCCCAAACACACACACAACACGCTATTGCATTAGGGTCTTTGCTGTAGAACCACAGTGTGTTTGAGCTATTCAGGGCCATTTTACCCACTTACTCTCCAGAGATGGAAACTGAAGCTCATATAGAGGGGAACCACCATTTACTTAGTGATAAACTCGGACATGACAGATGCCAGTTCCAGAGTCTGTCCCTGCACCTAACAGATGGGTCTTGCTGGAACATAGACTCATGCCATGCCCCTGCTCAGTCACCTCCACGGATCTCGCAGGCCCTCAGGAGAGGGTGCAAATGCCCTAGCCTGGCATCAAAACCCTCCATGTAATAGTCCTGCTTGCTTTTCATTCCCATCTCCCTGTTTCTGTTTGACTGCTGGCTGGTGATCTCACACGACTCCTGTTCACACTCAGACCAGACTCATTCCCACCTCTATCTTGAGACCACCTATCCATTTCCAGTTTCTGTGAGGCTGTTCTCAGTGCACTGAGGTGTTCCAGAAACTGGAGCAGCACCATAAATGGCCACACATACCCTCCACATGTGTCTCTCCAGAGAAGCACAAACACTCACAGCACATTTTCACTTTTAATACTTTTAATATTTTTTGTATGATTACCAAGACTTCTTAGAGCCTCAGCTCTTCCAAGGCGGTAGCAATGGCAAATATACCATTTTATAGGGGAGATGAAGGAAGTGAGACCCAGTGCTGAGAACGGCATATGTTTCAGTCTCCAGAAAGCATGAGTCAGAGGTGAAAGAGAAAGAGGACCCAGGCCTCCTGACACTGGGCTCCATTCACAAGGCCAGGCATCTGGCCTGCTGTTATTTCCAAAGGCTTGATATCTTTCAGAATAAATCAATACACGCTCATCCCAACAGGTTTACTTTTGAGAAAATTTGTAATGATGCCAAAAGGCACAGAACCTTGTCTTTTCTGACCTCTGAGCTATACCTACAAATGTTAACTACATATTTTAGTTCCCAGGTTGAGATCTGCTAAGGCAACACCATAGATGAAGGTAATTCTGAAGAGATGGACTATGAAAAAATGGGTCAAGGCCAAAAATCCAGTTCAGGTTGGAAATGAAGGCTTCATCTCACATACCAGATAACCTTCTCTAGAGTTTGATACCTACTTCCAACATCCATTGATTGTCCTACTGTTTAGGACTGAGACTGGGAAGAGTTTGGGTAAACAATTCCGTGTTGGGTCGGAACATTCTGAAATCCAGAAAAGATTTGTTGAACAGAAAGTGATACCGTGTTAGCATGCATCCAGGCTGGAGAAAAGGGTAGGGCCAAGAGTCCCAGGGAACTAGGTAAGAAGCAGCTCTTCCAGGTTCTCTGTGGCAGCTCAGCACATTTACTGAGTCCCTACTAATGTGCCCAGTACTTGAATAGGGACCTTCAGTAAGGGGGCCACAGAATTTACCATCCAAACCAGAGCACTTCAGGGTGGAAGAGGGAACAAGTAATAATTATAGCAAGACAACAGGCATAAACTGTTATGGGAAGGCAAACCAGGATGTATGGCTGCCTTATCCTTCAGATTTGAGATCAATAATAAAAGGTCCCTACCCACAGAGAAATCTCCACTCCACAGAAAGGATATGATAAACACAAAGATGGCCTGATGCAAGGCTGGCTGGCTCTATCAATACATTATGACCAATTCCCAAGAAGAGCTAAAGGAGGAAGATACCACATTTGGAGAGGGGACTTGGCATTTGAGCTGAGTCTTGAGGGACGCAATGGGTTGGAATGTGTGGCAGTGAGAGGCCTAACAGCCCTGCAGGTGACTTAGGAGAAAGAAGCCTCAGACAAGGCCCAGTGGCAGGGGAACATGGGGCACGAGAGGAGGCAGAGCAGATCTGCTGAGGCTGCAGTGGAGACAGAGAGACCAGGGAATACTGAAGCAGGAAGGATGCTGAGGCCCAGAGGGACTTGGTTCTCATTTTGTGGGTATGACCCGAGATGACCAAGTAGGGTTGCACAAATCAGCTTTCTCAGTCTTCGTTCAGTGGAGACTACCGAGATGTCCAGACTCATGTGACATAGGCTGCCAGGCTCAACAGGCTGCCGGTCTTCTGTCCAACAAGTAAGGGGAGCCACACCATTAAAGGAACTGCAGGTCCTGTTCTGGTTTCAGTACCAAGCACTTTCTCTCTCCATCCATCTGCTGGAAAAGTCGGTTTGGACATTAGGAGGAAGTGTCTCCTTGGCAATCCAACAGGACTAGACAGCAGGAGGGGGTGGATTTTAGGGGCAATCCCTTGGTAAATACTCAGACCTTTGAAGTTTGTGGTGAAACCAGTTGTATTCCTATTTTTCAGGCATATACACGAGTCCAGCTGAGGAAGTTTGTGCCTTGGGGCTTTCGGAGGGATGGAGGTCAAAGCAGTCAAGGAAAGTATCTCCGACACTGAGCAGAGCATTGTAGATGGTAAAATCCTTTCCCATGTGGGCGTCACATTTTGTGAGCTAGGTCAGGAAGGCATTAATTACTGTGAACTACTGACATAGTGGGGCATTAAGGAAGGGACAAATGGGTGACTCACCCAAGGTCACAGAGCTCATGTCTGTGGACAGGTCATGTCAGCACTCACGGGGCCCCACAGCCAGCTCTCAGAAACGAGATGAGAGAGGAAGAGATGTAAGTCAAAAAAACCCTTCACTCTGTGGGGTCTGGGATGGATCTAGAACCTCCTCACTGCCTTTTCCTCCACAAGGAAACGGGCCCAAGTCTATGCGGTGGGTAAGGGCTGCCTGGTAACAGGTTTCCGGGCGCGAATGAGGTCCCGTGGGGTTGCTGGGCCTTTCAAAGGCCACTTGTACCCTGGGACGTGGCGCGGCGGCAGCCCAGAGGGCCTGGGCCGGGAGGAGGGGCCAGGCCTGCCTTCAGTGCCTAGAAATCAACGCAGCCAGCCTTGGGCTTTTTCTTCCCCTCACACCGAGGTACTTCTATCGCAGAGATGAAGGGAGACAGAGCGGGCCTAGAGTCCTCGCTTTGCTTTTGGAGGTTAATGACCCAGTTAGCAGCTCTTGGCTGCGTTTCCGACATTTTGCAGACATCAAGCCCCGCTTCTCTGCCAAGTACATTCTGTTCCCTGGAGCTCGTCCAGCGCATCTCAGATTACTATGTAATGCGACAAAGAGGGAGAGGTGGCGGGGAGGAGCGAGGGGAGCGGCCCGAGGGGGAGAGGGCGGCGCCGGCGCGGGGTGAAGAGGATGCCGCTCTAAATATAGCCGCCCTCCTGGAGCCCCACCCGCCAAGGTGCTTCTTTCCTGCACTGGCGTGACCCCCGGCGGGGGCACCGAGGGCCCGGCGGGGCAGTCTTGCGGGGAGCGCCGCCGCGGAGAGAGCACCGCTGAGCCGGCGGGGGCAGGGGGGGGGCAGGGGAAGCGGAGGGGCCCGGGAACCAGCCCCGCGCCCAGGCTCGGTCCCGCCCGAAGGCCCTTCCCGGCCGCTCGGGGGCCGCCGGTGCACCGATTACGGACGTGAATGGGAAGCGGCAGCTAGTGAATGATCGCGCTGCTCGCGCTGCCTTTGGAGGCTGAGGAGCAGGTGCTGCGCTGCAAAACACAGTGCTTCATTTAAAAGCCCTCTGTCACGTACGCACCCTCACGACGTTCAGGAATCCTCCAGCCCCCTCCCGTCACTACCCTGCGGTGGGTCCCAGAACTGGCCTAAGAGCCGTGGGTCAGGGGGCCCCGGACAGAGCCTGGGGGACTTTTCCTATCTCTTTCAGCTTGTCCTTAGGTATCTCTCCGTGGATGAGAAAAACCCTAAGTCTTTTCAGTTTGTTGGAAAGTAGTATTTTGTTTTACAGATGGAGAAGCTGAGGCTGGGAGAGAAGCTGGGATATGTCCCTGGGCACATGGTGAGTCCGTGGGAGCTGAGATACAGCCCCGTCTCCTGACAGCCTCGCCATTGGCTATACCAGGTTGGAACCTGAAGAAGGTTTCACTTCGGTGACATTAATTTCTAGGCATGGATCCTTTGCACGTGAGCATCCCCCTCTTTTCCTGGATCAGCTCCACCCCCATCCTACCGCCCACCCCCAGCCCCACCCCACTCTCACACAGAAAACTTGCTATGCCAACTGATTCTCACTGGTGATAGGCTTAATAGCTGCAGGCCTGGAAATTATGTCCATTTTCCTGTCTCTATGTGTAAGTCCATTTTATATGCCCATCATCAGCACAATCCTGTTATTAGGAACTCCAGAGAAAGCAAAACCTAGACTTTTCTTCCTCCTCAGCATCTCACATCACCCAGCCCTCACAGTTGGCCAGATACTCTAATGAACATCAGTCACAACCTAATCCAGGCCAGAAAAGCAGAGTAAGAAGTCTCGTACCCATTTTACAGAGTCCCTGTAGAAGTGGCGTATTTGAAGGGGAAGTAACTAGCTCACATCCATCTGCTGGTGCGTGGCCAAGTTGAGAACTAAACCCAGGACTTGCGACCCCACCCTGGGCTGTGTTCACACTGGGGTGGGGGGTGGGTGGGAGGGGGCAAGGATCCATTTAGTCATGGAGAGGGGTGGCTCTAAGTGACCTGGGTATCTCCAGCCCTGCCGCTGTTATCCTCTCCCCACAGGCCTTAGGCCACTGCGCCCATGCCCCCACCCCCATACTAGTTCACAATATGAAACTGGATATGCACAGCTGCTGCCTTAGGAGCCAGAAGCGTCCAGGCCCTCTCACCACTACTGACTCCAAATGTCAGGGCCAGTCCCACTCACGTCCTGGACCTATCCACATCCCCTCAACCTTTGCTGCCGCTCTGGACTTAACTCTCTCTGTTCCCCCTGTCCCCTCAAGATCTCCCCCAGGGCAGACGGAAAAAGCAGCAGCATCAAATGCCATGCCAAAAAAACGGAGAGGGAATAGATGTGAAGAATATTTTATTTTGCTTCTTGGAAGCAAGGAGTTTATCGGAGTCTTTACAAGTCCCCACCCATGCTACCCAACATACACGGTGTCCAACCCAGTGAGCACAGCAAACATACTTAAATGTTAAAGAATTATAAAACTCTCACATGACTGAGGAAATTTGTATATACCTAGGCTGGCCATTGTGACATCTCTCTTAACAACACTGATGAGCGGTTCAGAACACGGGCTTCGCATGAACAAGACCAGGCTCTGTCCTGATCAGTCGTACAATAATGACAAGCTGGTTCATCTTGAGGTCTGTTTTCTCATCTGCAAAATGAGTATGATTATACCTCACAGAAGCAGTACTGAACAATACCAGCAGCCCTGAGCCAGGAAGAGAGGGGAACACTCATATGGGAATGGTTCTCTCCACATTTACCACCTAGTTTGGAATCCAGATTCAGCTATGGGACTCAGGTAAGTTTTTTAACTTCCAGGTATCTCAATTTCCTCACATGTAAGATAAGGATAATAAATGTACATATCATATAGTGTTATGTGAATTAAATTAATAGAGGCTAAAAATAGTGCTCGGCATAGAGCAAGTGCTCAGTGCAGATGACTATTGCTTTTACTGAAATTGTATGAAGATTGAATGATGTAATATATGAAAAGTCCTAGCAAAATCCTAGCAGAGTCAGCAAACAGTAAATATTATTTCTTCTTCTGCAAATGGGATTATGATAGTTTATCTTATATAGAGTTGTTCTGAAGATTAATTTAGGTAATACATTTGAACACTTCCGGAAAATTATAGGGGAGCATTCATATGTTTTATTATTAACTTTAATGTTGGGGCATTGATTCAACAAATATTGTGTGTTAATTACTCCTGGTCCTATTTGAGATACAGAAATAAATATCCATGCTGCCAAGGTGTGGATAAGTGGCTAAGGCACAGGATGAATAACCAAATAACTATGTAACACCAGGCTATAAGTGCTCTGATCAGCACAATAAACCAATTACCATGAGACATCAGGGCAGAGCAGGCAGGTATGCCAGGTGGGAAAAGGAGTTCAGGAGTGGCTGCTGCAGGGATAACGGAGCAGGAACAGAACCGGAAAGGATGAGCAAGTTTTGCACAAATGGATACAGAGGGGAGAGAAAGACATTCCTGAAAAAGGTATACAGAAGAGCAAAGGCCCCAAAGCTGGACCGGAAAGGGAATGTTTGGAGAACTGCAAGTGTTCAGAGAATGTGGGCAGGCAGAGAAAGGCCTGGAGGGTAAGGTAGCCGTCCAGGCAGCAGAGTGCCAGGGAGCCAGGACAAGCCCAAAGGGTGATCCTCACCGACTACATGAAGGGCAGAGGTGCTGAGGAAAGTCTCAGGACTATGATTCATAGTCAAACTTAAGAATCCGGGTAGCAGAGTAGAGACAGAGGAAGAATGTTTCTCCAGAGCCAGGCCTGAAGTGCCAGAAAACAGGTGTTTTCATAGCTCCTTTATAGCACCTCCCATATTTCATGAATTCATATTTACTTTTGTGTTTTGTTCTTGGGAAATGAATCCCAAGACCAAAAGAACCATCAGAGTTGGTCTAAAAGTAGTCAAAGGACTCTCCAAGGTTTTTTCCACCTTTACCTTCAACAAACAGGTGGGTGCAGAGTGACAGAGTTTAAAATTCATTGAACAGAAGTATAGGACTTAATCCCTCAAACATACCTATTTTTAGAAAACAAAATCAGAAAGTACTGGAAAGAAGGGGAAAAGAAGAAACCTGTAACATAAAGAAAATTCCTCCTTCCACTTAGTTACCTTAATTAGCAGTCTTAGATTTTTAGCTTCCTCTTTCTAGAAAGGAAAAAGAAGAGAATAATTGAAAGGGAAGGGAGAACAGGAGAGAAGAAAAGAGGTCACCCCAGAAAGCCATGAGTGTGGGCAACCACGTTTATTGTCTTCTAAACCCCCTACGACCTGGATCCCTTCCCAGCTCAGGTTGGGAAGCAGAAAAGAAATCCAACTGGTCTTAGTTGTTAAGGATTTGGGACCAGCACCTAGATAGGAACCTTGCCCTCGCTCCTTCCCTGGGCTTCTTTAAACCTCAGTGCCATTACCTTTCTTCATCTTCCTTTGGAAGGCGATTTTGTGCTGGGCTTCCTGAGCAGAGGCACAGAATGCAGGAGGCGGAATAAGCAGCACCTAGAGGTTATCTAGTTCAACCCCTTTATGTTATAAATGAGAAAAACAAGGGGAAAAAGAAAGAAATGAATGGTTCAAGGTCACCCAACTCATCTGTGATAGAGAACTAGAATGGGAGACTGCTAACTTAAAATATTTCAAATATCCAATGTCTTTTCAAAGTCCACGACACTTCCTTTAAAGGAGTGATATTCATATTATAGCATATAACATCCATATTTCCCTGAAAGAGGGTAGCTTTGAGAGAAGCACCCACAATAACAACAACCATCACTGCTGAGCACCTATTTCGTGCCAAGTTCAGAAAACTTAAGAAACTTGTCCAAGGCAGTGTACATGATAGAGCCAGAGTTTGAACTGAAGTTGTCTTAGTCTAAATCCCAGTAATTTTTCAATTGTAGCATACTGCTTCTCTATGCCTTAGCTTTCTCATCTATAAATTACGGGATTTTTAAGAATAAGATAAAAAGTGCCTAATGCCATACTTGTCATATAGTAGGTACTCTATGAACAACAGCTGTTATTATTATGAATGACACATTTTGAATATTTGCTACACCTTAGGTCTTCCCACTTTGATTATATTCCTCAAGAATCTTGGCTGTTATCAGTTGTCATCACTACATTCATCAGGCTCCACCCTCCCAGTCTCTGCTTCCCCTTGATGTGCCCTCTCAGGGATTGGGTTTCAAACATGGAAGGTCTAAGCAGAAGAGGTAAGGTAGGATGGGAATTGAACGCTCCTATTGCTGCTGGGATTCTGACCAGACAGATCAGGTCTGAAAAAGCAGCTACATCCACTCACAGACTAGATGAGCGTCAGGTGACCAGGTATTCAGGTACAAGAGCCTGGCAGGTTGTCACTAACTGAGAGGCCGCAGTACAGAGATTTGGGGTGGGTAGTGGCTAAGACAACAGACCATGGTTTCAGAAACACCAAATCATGGAACCAGGGCTCAAGTCACCATGTCTAGCAAAAGCCAGACAAGACTTTTGCTAGTAGGAAGTAAAGCTGAGTAGGAAGATCACCAGAAACAGAACATAAAACTGGATTAAAGCAAAATTCAGTTGGAAGGAATAGGTATTACAATGGACCTACACTTTTGAACATGGCAGATGACTCTTTTTTTCTCCCTGATTATAAAAACTAATAAATAACCATGAGATTGTCTTGGCCTTCAATTGTTTGTGGATACATTTGCTTAGAATGAAAGTACCAAAATATCATGGGAATGATACCCATCAAATTCAGAATGGTGTTTTCCTTGGTAGAGGGAAAGAAGGAGGGAGTGAGAGGAAATGAAAGGTATGGCTGGCTTTAACTAGGTGTTACATTACCTCTTTTAAGAAAAAAGAGGTCTGAAGCAAATACAGCAAAATGTTAGCATCTGTTAATTCCAGTGGTGAATACATGACATCTATCTTCTCTGTATGGTTACATATTTAATCATTTAAAATAAAAATGTAAAGCAAAAAATATATTTAAAATCCTATAAATTGTGTTAGTATGTGATCATTGTAGAAAAACTGGATATCTTATGAATAATAACATCAGAAAATAATGAATTTTAAAAGCTATGAGGTTAGCTAGCTGATGCAGTGTTTCTTAGGTACAACAACTGGTCTTACTCCAATAAGAATTCATTTAAGATTTTTGTGGTAAGTTTGCACATTGATGGTCCGTATATGTGTGTTAGAAGGAAGATTCAGGGTTCTTTAAATTATGCTGTCTAGCCAGTCATTATAGAAATGCCCAACTGTCTACCCATGGCCAGAAGGCCCATTTTTAAATAATAACCAAGATCTTTTATGCTCATCTGGAAAGAAAACCTAAAAAGACTTCTGAACAATAAAAGCTAATGTTTTACATACTAAAATTTATGGATGGAAACCCACAAGGATATAAACACAGACCAACACCATCAACCACTGGATCTAATTGATATTGATAGGACAATACACTGCCCAACAAGAGCAAAATACACATTCTTTTCAAGTGTACATGGAACATTCACCAAGATAGACCATACCCTGGGTCATAAATCTTATGATTTCTCCCATGAAACAGAAACCTTCAGACCCTCACTCAGAAATAAGTCTTATTTTACATAAAACTGATAGACCATCTGGAGTCTCTGACTGCAGCCTGACAGAAGAGAAAGTAAAATTGCTCTACTATGGCTAACACTTATCAGTAACAGCTGACGGTCAGGCCCTTGGGGAGGAGACAATAGAGCTATAAAATACAGACAGAAGGGCCCAGAGCACAGCCCTTCCAGACCATCTACTTAAAGCCTAACAAGCCCAGGAACGCCTGAAGCACTCTGCATGAACACACTCAGTGGCTCAGTAGAAAGAGCATAGGAGTTAGCTAGAAAGGGTTTGGGCATGACTCCGCCTCTCACCTACAAGAGGCTGTGGGACAGTCTCTCTCACTTCTCCCTTCTGGGAACTGGCTTCCTCATAGGCAAAATGGAGTCACTAGAATCTAGTGACTAGATCTCCAGGATTTCCACTTCTATCTCTCTGTGACTATTTTTGCATTCATTCTAATTTCCCTGGGTCTTCACTGAAAGGATGTATGATTCTTGATAATGTTTGTATTCAAAAGCAGGGGACAGTGTGTGACCTCAGAGAGCATATTTGCTTACAAGCACTGGCTTATCCCCCTCAAAATCCTGGACATGCTCAGAAGTATCCCGAAGGGTTCCACAAGGACATATTTACAAACAGCTTCCAAAAAGCAGTGAAATGGCAAAACAAGCCTTGCAAGACAAATTCTGTATACCAGACAATTTAATTCTGAACAATGGACCACATGAGGGTGTATAAATAACTAATTACGCTGGACAACATGAACAGCTTTTTTGAATGATTGCAAAATTGGGGAGGAAGGAAATGTGACTGGTATTTATACATTTGGGCTTCAGTCAAAGATTTCATATTCACTCTTAAGCAATTTGACTTACAAAATTAGCTCAGACTAGAACATGGTCAAGCAACTCGAAAGTGGCACAAAGTCTGCTATCAGAGCTGGATTGTTGTGCCCGAGCATCCACAGGACTGGAGGGGAGGATTGGGGGCATGCCCCTGCAGTGGCTGCGGGATGTTCAGTGAGAGGTGCCTTGGTTTCCACAATGACATAGAGAAGTAGGGGCTATTTAGGGGCAATTGTCCTAAGAGTTTCAATGGCAAGTCAAGTTCATCTTGTTATCATATGCAAGCACATATTCCTGGACAGCCAGTTCCATGTTTTTCTTGAGTCTCAACTGTGTGATCAGTAATATGCCAAGACTAGGTGCACAGAAATACTTGTTAGACAATGAATTGTCAAATGAAATGAGTAACACATGGTCCTTACCTAAACAGAATCTGGGTCTAGTGGGTGACATAAAATTGCACTGTTTTAATACAGAGCAGGTGTCAATGCTCACCATAGTCAAGGTGACAAGGGCCCCATGAGCACAGAGAAGACAGAGCAGTCAATTCTGACCTTAGACATTAGCAAGGCTCTTCCTTTCCTGTCTCAGGGCCCTCACACACTCATTTTCCCCATTGCTGCTCTCCACTAAATCTATTTTCTCTACATAACATGCCTTCCAGAGAAGCCTTCTTCAATTCTGTAGATGTAAATTAGGAACTACTTCCCCTCTCCCAATGCAATTCTCCCTATGTCTCCTCATGTAACTATGTTCTTTTGTTTGAGAACACATAGCCCATCTAATTATTAATATGTATGTGTTTATTTGTTTAAAGTCTACTCCTGCAATGAACTAAAAATAACAGCTTGTGTCTCATTCATGGATATCTCACCACCACAGAACACAGTGCCTGATGCCCAAGGGTCAGAGTAAATATTTTTAAGTTGTTCATGGACTACATGAATAACTCCTTACAAAGGAAGGAGGACCCTGACAAAGATTCTGACAAAGATAATAGAAGAAAATTCCAGGAGGATGGAATGGCAGAAGCAGAAGCAAGGAAGAGGGAAAGTCCAGGCAAGAGAGACTGCAGGGGCCACAAGGAGCAGACCAGTGCCCATCACTGGCTAAAGAAGGGCAGTGGGAACCATCAGTGGTTGGCGAGGAAGACAAATAAAAATCACCAGAGCTGGAGCTTCGGAAAGTGGCTCAAGTTCTATGAAGAACTAATTGGTGGAAAGAGAAACTGGAGAGAAAGAGATAATCAGGAAGCTGCTAAAGTGATCCATGGAAAAAGTTATAGGGATCTGACCAGGCAGCTCTAAGTAGGAATGAAAAGATCAAGCACATGGCTCCAGAATGATTGAAAGGAATCGTGTGAGAATGCAGCAATACCCCTCACATTTCCGCCAGGCAGAGATGGGTAAAGGGAGCAGAGATTGCACGCACAGCAAAAGGAGGGAGAGTTTGGGAATGAAGAGAATTTGATATGGAAATCTGGTGTTTAAGGTGTTGAAGAGCCAACAATGGAAACCATCCAGCAGAAGGAAAGAGATCAGGACTAAGATACGAATTTAAGTGCCACCTGCCCAGAGTGGGTACTGGAGCTGGTAAGCCTTAAACAAACATCTCCATGGGACATGTTTCTCCTGCACAATAGCTCAGCCTGAGCCTAGAAGAGGGGTTCCAGAATCCTCCAGGATACTAGAACCCTGTTTCTGTCTCCTTTGCTTTTTACTGGACAGCAGAGGCACACCTTGCTGTCATTCAACTGTTCACACAAATGTAGGCATCACTCTTATATCCTAGAAAATCACTTTTCTACCTTCAAGACCTTGATTCTCTCTCCTGCTGTGCCCTTCCAACCGATGTATGTAGCCTGAGCTCACCCAGCCATAACTCTCCTATCCCACATTCCAATTAGCCAAATCTAGATTCCCCTGGGCCTGTATCCTCATAAGGATGGAGTTGGGAGAAAAAGAACAATCCACACAGAGCTAGAAAAAATTCTCCTCACAGTAGAAACTTGAGCGTTGGCTCACAGAAAGATTATACTCCTACCTGTTTCCAAACTTAAATAATGAGGGAACCCAGCCAAGACCCAGACTGGTGTGAAGGCATTTCCCAAGGTGAGGGGTACCACATGGTTAGCTGGTCATGGTGATCAACAGAGAGAATGCTGATCCCAGGTCAGGCCCGGGAGGAGCGACTCCAGACTGATGCAGACGTGCTCAACCCCCAAGGAGGCTTTCCCTGAAGGAGACAGACAAAGGCAGGACGAGACTCAGCCCCCCTGTTTCCTTCAGAAGACCTGCTGCTCCAGAAGTAGCCCCTCTCAGATCTGCCAAGAATGAGGCTTTTAAATTACTATTGACATGGACACAAGATCAGAAGTTCCTAGAGTTACTTCCTACATAAGTCACAGGAGCAGAGAAGGGGGTCGGTCCCCTGCTGATGCGAGTGGTTCTGAGCCCTGGCTCACATCCTGATCCCCTGGAGAACATGACTACCTCTGGAGATGCAGGGGGTCAGCTGACAGTCAACACAAGTCATTTGTTCTTTGTTTAGCTTGAGCCTTTCTAGGGCAGCAAGAGCATTACTGGAAGGGGAGAGGCCCTGAGACAAGACCACGACACAACTACCTTTCTAAAGGATGCCTGTCATTCTCATCTCAATTTAAAAAGTTACTTATTTTGCCTTTACTGTTGATATTCTTTTCCTTGCCATGGCAGGCAGATTTAGATAGGCAAGATCCAACTTCAAAATGTGCTGTGCCACCTACAGGCCTCTGGGTTTCCCTGGGCCTCTGTTTCATCCGATGTCAGAAGGAGGGGATGTCCTTGCCTGAGTGTCTTCAGGGCATTCTGAGGAATAGATAATCCGTGCATATGGAAAAGGGCTTTGTACTCTTATGCCCCCCCACACATCTGATTGTATTCGTGCACTGACTGAACTTGTCAGGTGGATATCTTCTTCCCCAGTGGCTACTCTATTTTCCCTGAGGATCAGGAAGTGTGGTAATAGGCTGTCACTTGCCTTGTTGGGCTGTTTGTTCTTTCCTGTCTCTGTCTACAATGGAACGGGCATGTCTGTGGAACACAAGGCTACTCAGCACCTCCAGTCTGTGAGAGCTGCTTGCACTGCATATGTTGGAGCAAGTAAGACAGAAAAAGAAAGTGGATTTATTCCCACCATTAATAATCTATAACAAAGCATAGCCAAGCTGATCAGAGAAAACTGGATCAATCAACCTTGCCTAGAACATTCTCAAAATATGGAGTTCATTCTGATCTTTGGAAACTTGGGATCAGATCATTCTGGGTTCCAGTCCCA